ATGGCCCCTTAGTGGGACCACCAGAGGCTTACTTGGCCGATGCCATTGCGGCCCTCTTCGGCTCGATGCTCGGCGTGTCCACCGTGGCCACCTTTGCGGAATCCACCGCGGGCGTGGCGGATGGCGCCAAGACAGGCGACGTCGACCTGGGAAACGTGGTCAGGGCTTGGAAATAGTGATTTAATAATATTTAATATGACCATATAGTGATTTTATTTAATACTGACTTAATAGTGATTTCATAGAGATTAATTAATAGTGATGTAATCAAGAGAGAGATTTAATAGAGATCTAATAGTGCTTGAATGTGGGAAACCCATAAACTTCCATAAACCTACCATGACTGGGGATGATATTTGCCAACCAACCACTAATAATTGATGATTATTTTTGGGATGGTTTATGGTATTGAGTTTACCACATGAATGTTCAAATCTAACAAAGTGAAACTAACTGTAGATATGAAAACAACCTCAGGCTTTGAGACACCTTGACCTGGATCTTGATCGTGCTGGCCTTGAGCTTTGACCTGGTTGAAGATGATAGCCTTGATGGTTTGGTGATGGTCATCGGGGCACATTCGAACATTTGACTTGACTTACTATTGCTGCATGATCTGCGCTAGTCTTGGAAGTCTTAATTGAATTCAAACAGAGGTCCAAAACCATCCTGATTCTTCGAACCTCAGCCTCAACACTTGAGTACAGGACTTGTCCACAGCCGCTCCCTAAGTCCGTCCAGCAGCCTATGCCTGGAGGATCATCCCAGAAATCGTAACTGGTCAAGAGCCCTGGTGATTGTATGCCCCCAATTCCTGTGGTTGTCGCATATCTGAGTGAACTACCCCCCAGGTTACTAACCAGTTACGATAGCGCCGGCAGGCTTGGCATCCTTGACCACTGGTGTTTGCTTCCTGCTGGCCATTCCCATTGCTCCGGTGGTGTCCGCTGTGCCACCGCTGGCGTCGGGGCCCATCCTGTGTCTGCTGGGCGCGCTGATGTGCAGCTCTGTTAGGGGTATCGACTGGGATGACTTTCAGGATACGGGGGCACATGCAGGTGTGGCTTTGCCAACAGTAGGAATGATACTGTGGATGGAAGAAATTCCTGCACCACCTTGGATGGTTAAACCGTGAAACCCCATATAATGGGATAAACCATCACTGGTGCAGGATTTCGCAACCGTAGACAAATGCCAGGAGTCCATGCCAGCCTTCGTAGCCATGGTGACGATGCCTTACACTTTCAGCATCGGCTATGGCATCATTGCTGGTCTAATCCTATGGATCCTGGGAATGCTTCAAGTTGGGAATAGATGGGGGTCATAGTAGAGTGCGCACACACACAGATATATATATATATATACAGTATCACGGATATATGTGCTGCTGTCAGCTTCCGTCCGCAGGAGCACACTTGCTGTCCGTATTGAATAGCTCCTGTTTGTGTTTTGTGGCCCCAAAATAGGGGCCAGATTCTGGACCCAAAAATGGGGTCACAATATAAGAATTAATAGCCCAGCGTCCAAATTAGTGGCCCCAATTTTGGGCCCATGGTATATGCGAGCTGCGACAGGTTGCATCTTTCATGTATGTTTTCTTGCGCTTGGTGCCAAGATGCTGGTTTCACATGCAGGGTACGCAGTGGGGGAGGGCAAAAAGCATGCAGGCTCACAGCCCCAAAAATGGGCACGCGTCGCAGCGTCAAAGGAACGTTTTACATGTTTTAAAAGGTGCAGGGATGCCCGTGCTGTTCTGCAGCAAGCATGCGAAGTTGAACCTTGACAGCCACGAGCAATGCAAAGACATTTGTACAGCCAGCGGCAGTGTAGACGACCTTGGGCGCAACCCCGGGCACCGCCAGACATCAGAGTTGACTTACTTCGCGCTCTGCAAAACAGCTACAAAGGCAGCAAGACTGGCTTTTGTGAGTGGCAACGTTGATTCCTTGGGAGCGGGGCCATGTTTTCGTGCGCATATCCACATACATCACGCGGAGGCAGCGTTAAATTAGCTATTCGTATTGGCTTGGCCGCATAACTATTAAGAGCGTGCTCAAAAGCTGGAATATTGGGGGGAGGGGTAGGACAAGACATTTTTGAGAAATATTTCACCTGACCACGTGAAATATACGTCCCCCCACATGTTTTTGGGGCTGGCAAAAGAAGCCGGGAGAGGGGTCCTTCGGATGCCACATTTTAGCCCAGCGATGGTATGGCACGCCCTTTCATTTTCGACGTGCGTACATACATATATACATACATATATACATACATGCATGGAACCAGGCCTTGGAGAGACCATTATGAACCAGAATTTTTTAGCTGACATATTTCTAGGTGTGGGGGGGACACACACACCCACCCTTTTTGAACATATTTCAGTTTTTACCACCCCAACCCCCTCTTAAAGGGGGGGATAAAGCTACTAAGCACGGTGTCGCATTTGGTATTGGCTTGGCCGCAAAGCTATTAAGAATGCGTTCAAAAGCTACTAAGGACC